ATTCCCACTTAAGGAAAGGGCAATGTTAATATTCACAACGTGGGCAAGGTATATAAATTTATTTTCTAATGTATAGGAACATTTTCTTATGAAAGAATATTAGTTGGTGACATGATGTCTCAGATTCTATTAATAGTTTTCAATTTAATTATTAGTCATAGCTCGACTATAAATAATGTAATAGGTACTCTAGTATAAGTATGAATCGAATTAATCAAAATATTTTTGATTTAATATATATTTTTTTAATTTGACTGCAACCAAAACTAAATTATCTTAATTTATTGTGTTTACCCAACATTTTTTCTATATTGTTTTCCATTCCATCATGGTTCTTCTATTCGCTATTTCTCTATTCTAGTTACATTGAGCTGAGTACCCATGAGAAGTTTATTGACCTAGCCAATGTTGCTGCAGTAGTTGCAATACGACGGCTTCAAGCTGTTAGATAGTGCAATGCACGGTTTGTATATACACATATTAGATATAGTAGATATGTGTACATACACACAAATATACGAGGCTTTAATTCTAAGCATTTTACATTAGATTCATTGTATTTCATTGCATTGTCTTTAGGTCGAGAGCGTTTATTGCATTTAAACAAGGTCTATTCTCGATAGTTGTTTTGTATTTTTCTTTTGCTATTCTTTTCTATTGTTTTTTCTTTAAATAATTGCATTGTGTTTTTGCAGAATATATTTTCGACATTGTTTCTGTGACGTCAACGTCATTTCTTGTTTCAATGAAAAAGTCTTGGTATTTTGGATAACAATGCGTTTTATCTTAATACCTATTTGTTTTATTAATTTTTTAAATGTTTTCTTAATTTGTGTTTGTGTTATAGGTGGTGGTGCCATTGAAATGGAATTGTCGAAAATCTTGAGAGATTATTCACGTACTATTGCCGGCAAGGAACAATTGCTAATTGCTGCCATTGCACGAGGTTTGGAAGTAATTCCACGTCAATTGTGTGACAATGCCGGTTTCGATGCCACAAACATTTTGAACAAATTGAGACAGAAGCATGCTCAAGGTAAGTTATAGTCTGGCATATATATTTTGTTTATTTTTATTTTATTTTTGCTCAAAACATCTCATTGTGATTGATACGCACACAGGGTGTTATGCATTTGTGCATTGCTTTGTTGCAATCTAATGGAAAGAAAATCAAATATAATTATAAGGATTTTGTTCGATTCATTTTCTAAATGGAATTTTACATGTCTGTCCGTGTTATGGAGATTAAAACCAATGTGAAGGCGATAGTTGGCCTCAGAAGCACACCACAAAACAATTATATCAGAACGGTTTACGTGTAATCTATGCACGATTTTATACGGATTTATTCATATTATTAATGAATCAACGAAGATACGAATATCCAATCATGACGCATACATGTATTCTTTTTTACCACGTTAATACCACGTAAAGGAAATTTTAAATCCAGGATGGCAGTCATCCGACACTTGGAATTCAATGTAAAGAGAAACATACCGATTATTGAATGATATTTTGGAACACATTCCTCGGTTTAATTCCATAATGTATCAATAATATTCCTAATAATACATTATAGAGGGAACCCCCTCCTCCCATTTTCGGTTTCAAAAAATTGAATTTTGGTTATCTATTTATGTCCAACCTACACTAAATCAAGAAAGTCCCTTTAAAATTGCCAGTCGGTAAAAATGATTAAATATTTGAAGTAGATTAAATAGTTGTCCTCTTCAGTGAACTATAAAATTTCTCAACATACAGATATGCTACAAATAAATGTTTTTAGCAGCGGATAATAGATAATATAAAATATAAATCCAAAAAGGGCCCCTTTTCGATATATTTGAAATCAAATTCGGATAAAAATTGAATTGTATCTTAAATTTTTGGATTACATGTTAAGAATTATTTTTAATTGCAAAGTTTTTTCAGCAATATTGAAAACTATAATTAAACTAAATTTTAAATTAAAAATACAACGCAATTAATTTGCAGCATTAGATTATTAAATAAACACTTCTTATCTCCCAAATGATTGACAATTATTGTATTTTTCTTATTTTGCAATAGAGTAGAGTTGGTACTTTAAATGTGACAATCGGTCATTCACTTATTAGTTTATTGAACGATTTTGAGTGCATTTCAACATTGGCAGCAAGTACAACAACGAAACAAGAATATTGCTATGCTGTGTCGCGTTGCTGATTATTTAAAAGTTTCCCCTGAGGAGGCGCCATTATAAAGAAGCAAACAAACATACAAACAAAAAGCTAAATTGTGGTTTTCTGCCATCGCTGTTTTGTTCGCTGATTCGATGTTAAGTTTTATTTTTGTCGAAACAAGTTTGTTTCGCTGTTAAGTCACGTACTCATTTCATTTGCCGTCGTCTGTCTACTCTGGCCACTGGTACAAAACAATTTTTATAGACATTTTGTTTTGTTGTTTTTTATTTTGTTTTAATTCTTAAAGTGTATAAAATTTACTTCTATTTGCATTGTACGATTTAAAAGACAAAGCAAATGTATGAAATAGTATTTCAACTTATCTCTCGTTTTTTATTTTGTTATTTAAATTTTGTTGTTGGTAAACAGTAGAATGAAAAATGCACGTCATTGGATTTTATTTTTTATTGAAGGAAAGCTATTTGTTTATAATCAAATGGGTTTGATATGAATTCTATTTTGTCATTGTTGACAGTCTTTGTAAGCAATTATGAATGTTAAGAACATTTCAACAATGAAAACACTTAAGTAAAATGGTAGGTTTTGTTTGACTTGTATCGTATGACTAAATGGAAATCTTCAAAATTTTTTACACATGTTTTCAATTGGGGTGTAAATCCCATTTTCACAGATATGAAATTTTCTAAAATATTTCTAGTACATTTTTTCGCATTTATATCAGTAATAGCATAGCATAAAATTGTGATAAGTGTATGAAACTTAATATCCTTTCACATTGAATTATTTTATTTATTTTTTAATTATTATATTTATGATATTTTTCTTCCATTTCCAGGTGGCCAATGGTATGGTGTTGACATCACCAAAGAAGACATTGCCGATAACTTCCAAGAATGTGTATGGGAACCTTCAATCATTAAAATCAATGCATTGACCGCTGCTGCTGAAGCTGCCATTATGATTCTGTCGGTCGATGAAACAATTAAGAGCCCCAGATCTGGCGGTGATGCACCAATGGCTGGTGCACCCATGGGTCGCGGCATGGGTAGACCCATGTAAATCGTATTCATAATGTTTATGCTTTATTAAATAACCTCGTTTGTATTTCATTTTCCTTTAATTATTAAACGTTTTCTCTTCTCTACAAGCACATCTACTCAATATGATCAAAACATAAAAAAAAATTAAAAAAAAAACACACACAAAAACACAAAATTTATTCATCAAACGCATTTACAATTTGTTTAACCATGCTTAACTGTACTATCATCATTAATAAACAAATGAACAAGTTTCGTAATTTGTTTAAAAAAATACACAGAGAATGTGGTTTTATTTTGTGACCTGGAACAACTAACAATCTGGTAGGAGTTTCAATCTGCAAACGAACTGAAGAAGAAAAAAGGACAATTGATTATCACCAAAAATTTTGGAAGGTAAGTATAGACTACATTTGGTTAGATTTCAAAATATGTATCAGACTAATAGTTTCAAACATATAGTCAACAGCCAAAGGGTTGAAACTAAGCTTTAGTTTGCTTTTGTAATAATAATTTAAAATATAACAGGTTATATTACTTAAATTTAATTAAATTTCATATATTTGTTTACTTCAAAATTTGCGGAGTCTGACTCTGGGACCGATTTTTTCTAAGATTTTAGAAATTATCATTTATTAAGAAATTTTGGTCGCATTACGATATATCCTAAATGGCTACAGACAGTATAAAATTAGTATAGGATACTATTTCTGTATTGTAAAGAGTTGTTGACGTTTATGTAAAAATTGTTGGACATAATTTTCCAGATTCTAATTATAATTCAATTCGCTTTTTGTTTTGTTTATTTTTTTAACGAATGAAGACAACATATTTAATGAAATACCCCTAACAACAACTTCAGCAAACAAACTAGTCTTATCAATACAAACGTTGGTCTTCGTCGTCAGACGGTGGTGGTGGCCGGTTTACTTAACCTCATCCGGTTCGTGACAATAACAGTAGTATTACGATTGTCTGTCTGTCCATCTGTCTGTTTAATTGCTTTGTTTTTCCAGATATTCAATGTCGAATATCGGAATGAAAAATATTTACTTGAAACAATTGTCGATTGTATTTTAAAATTCTTAAGATTCGTTTGAGTACCTGCTAAGAGGCACGATCGCCCAAGTGCTCAGATTTCAGGTAAATTCTTCGAAATTATCCCTTATATTTTTTGAACTTGTAAAGCAACACATGTTTTTGATTGGAAAGATAAAAAGGAATCCTCCCTCCTTTGCAGGATTAAACCTATATCGACAATAAGAATTGGGAATTTTCCATTACTCCTTTTTCAGCTTTGTGTTTTTCTGCTGTCTGTAATATCCAGACCAAAAAGCAAAGCAAAAAAGATTAACACAATTTTCATAGGTAGTGTTCTAAGGCTAAGGATGATTTGAATGAATGACAATTGATGATGTGTGGTCTCAAAAGAACAGGTGGAAATCTATAATAACACTAATAGTTATTGTTGATGTTGGAAATAACTATGTTTTCTGGGATTTCAATAATGTTTCATGAGTTATTTTTTTCCAGTGAGATGAGCAGCTGTTCGATATTTTTAGTTTTGGACATTTGGTTATCGTTTTTGGAAGACCACACGTCAGAAGCATGTCACTAAAACGGTTTTAGGTGTAATTATTGCGGACTTTGTTTGCCATGAAATTCCTAAAAATAAAGTAGATGTTCGCAATGTTCCTTATTGCAATTTTCAGTCTAAAAAATTAACATTTTTTTTATAATTTTATAAATTTATTATTAAAGATCAAAATATTTCTTATACCATTGATACATCAATCATTTTATTTTTAACAAAATCATGCCACGCCTGCATAGCCTGTAATACCTCGACCAGTATTTCATTTTGCAATTCGACCAGATGATGTTTTTCCAGGGACATTTTCATTACAGCATAATCCAGAGAACGTTCGCCACCAACATCATCGCCTGGTGGAATTTTCAGTTGATCAACAAGCTCTACAAAATCTTTTAAAATTCGAAAACGATTGGCTGCAGTTGTTTCCAAAGCAATATTGGCTTTGTTCAAATAGCGGGTCATTAATTTAACCTGAGCTGCCAGATAATCGCTGCGTCCAACAACATCGGACAGATCATTTCTCAAATGCGCCACAGCATCTCGCGAAGCTTGCAATTTGTCATTGGCCGTGGCATTTAATTTTCTCTGTTGTGACCAAATGTCAGTCATGAAGTGGGGAGCTGCTGTAGTGAATGTTTCTGTTTGGGGTGTGGTGCTCCTTGAGAACGTTATCGATTCATCTCCAATTTGTAGATTGCTTTTCAGCGATGTCTCACCAGAGTCTAGACCAAAATTGAAACCAAATCGAAATATAACATTTGAGTGGGATGCCTAGAAGGAAGTACATATCGGAAGATCAGTGGAAATTTTCGAAACTAAGAAATCATACCTACCCCTATGCTGATGAGAAAAATGGTGAGCGGAAATAAAATGTCAAGCGTGAGTGTTACCATGCTTTAAATATCATAAACAGTATTCAACTGAATTCATTTGATTTCCCAAAGATTCGATTAAGTCGAAATAAGAAATTCAAGATTTTTTGTAGGATTATCAGTCATCTGGGTCTAAGGTCAGCATTTTGGTTTTGCTCACATTTAAGCGAAATAACGTCAATAATCATACTAGCCTTTGCTTGAAAAAAAAAAACGTCTGTCTGGTTGTCATTTAATTTAAATGTAAATGGTAGAAGACGTCTAAGTTCGCAGTGAAGATAATTTGTTCATCTATAATTTTTTTAATTTAAGTCGAATAGAACAGTTTTGCCATTTTGTATACCACTTGTTGTTTATTAAAAAAGTTAATTCGGTAGTACATTTTATAAATGACAAAAAAATATGAAGGATAATTCAAAAGTCCTTAGTGTGTTCGTGACATTTTGACTTGATACTAAATAATATCGTCTGAAACCAAAGGATGTTTAATTTTTTCCAAAAAAATAAATACACCTAAAAATGATTTCTGCGTTGTTTGTAAAAAAGGATAAGGGTATTGAAAAAAACTGACAACCAGAAAGGCATACGAAAAGTAAAATGTTCGGTTTTGAAAGTACAGACAGACATATGGATAACCCGCAGTACATACGACAAACATAGTTACCCGTATGTGAAATCAACATGCCTGCCTATGTCTGTCTGTCTGTCGGCCTGGCTGCACAGGCATACGAAATAAATGTAGAGTGTACACATGAACGTATGTGGCGAGCGACAGATACACGACACTTGGTGGTAGAGTCGAAAGAAAAAGCTGGTTAAAAACAACATGCCAGCTGGAAGGGAAAGGAATCGGGGAACCATCTGCTGTCGCTGAAGTCGTTTTGTGCCGGTTTTTATACAATGCCTGCATAAACGTACGAACATACACACATATACATCTATTTGTGTATATGGATTTGTTTCATGCAATCATTATCATTTATATGCGGATGCATATGCCGTATACGACCAGTGATGGAATACGGGTGATAAGGATAAGGGCCGCAATAAATATTTATTTTGTAGACAAATGTCCTTTAGATTGTTCAGATCCTTTAAATTGTTAATTAGAATGAATCAACCAATGGACCAACTATGTTGAAAAATATTCTCACCTTCGGTACAGATTTTCATATAGCTGCCATATATGAGTCGTTTATTTTAAAAGCAGTTTAAGTCAATTTTTCTTTTATTGGCATATTTAAAGGTTTGGGTTTGATTTGTTTCAAAAATATTGTAAAGTGGTATTAATTTGGTTTGTGGTTTTGTGTCCTTAACCATGATAAAATATATATAATATTTGGTTGCGGAAAAAGAGATCCATTAGGCCGATCGTCGAAAATGTCACTAAAATCGGAGAAATGGTCGAAGGTGACCGGCATTTTAGCGGTCGTAGCATCTCCCAGGAGCTAAAAATCGACCATAAAATTGTTTTAATCCATCAAAACAAAGCTGGATTCAAAAAGAAGCTTGATATTTGGGTGCCCTACCAAAGTGCGGTGAAGCACCTCACACAGTGATCAAACCAGGACTAACGGCCAGGAAGGTTCTGCTATGCATTTGGTGGGATTGGAAGGGGGTTATTTAATATGAGTTTCTTCCATATGGCCAAACGCTAAATTCTGATCTCTACTGTCAACAACTGGACCGCTTTAAGGTGGCAAATAGGAGAGGTGTCGTGTTCCACCAGGACAACGATAGACCACATGCATCTACAGTTACTCGCCAGAAACTTGTGGAGCTTGGTTGGGAAGTTTTAATGCATCCGACATACAGTCTGGACTTGGGACCAGGCGATTATCATCTGTTCTTGCATTGCAGAATTTCTTTAATGATAAAATATTGGTATCATAAAATATTTGTAGCTAGCTAGCTATGAGAGAGGCATTATGATGTTACCTTTATAATGGCAAGAAATGGTGCATATTTGGCCCAAATCGGACATTCCGAAGCATGATAAATAAAGTCTTATAGTTCATATAAAAATAATGGATTTCTTTTTCCCCAACTTAAACCATTTTGGAAATAAACGAATTATATATTTCCTTTGCTTTCAAATAAGTGATGCACCAATCACACTACAACCCTCCGATCGGATCAAAATGTCCAACTAAACCAAGATTTGTAGTAGAATCTAAAATGGACTTAAACCCCTTTCATAATAAACGACTTCAAAATTAACAATTTAATATACACTCCACCTTATGGTGGGAGTTTTATAAAGAACTCTCTACAAAGGCCCTGTTCTTTCATACCCCTGGTAGGTAATTGTATAAACCCCAGCCCTGTGTATGGACCACTTTTAAAATACAAAGCAGTTGAATTTTCAACATTTTGCGTTTTAAGATGGATATTTGATATGAATGATGCTCTGCTGCTCTGTCTACCATCGTTCATGGTACTGATGTACATCTGTAGGTAGGTAGATGGGTTCGTCGAGATGTGTAAATGGATTTGTATCTACCCTCTTTGTGTTACACAAATACATACGCAGAAACGGTCGTCTCCAAATACACATTTGGATAAATTTGTATCCATTGGATTCGGCAACCAGTTTTGGAAAATGTTTACTTTGGTTATGGCTGGTTATACACCCATCCATCCATCCATCCAAGCAACCAACCAACCAGCCATTCAGACACAATGTTGTGTACAAATGTTTGTGAAACCAATACATAGATACAGCTGCCGCTATTTACCCTATAGGTAAGTATAGTATGTATTAGGGTATGTTTGTAGATTTGTCTGGCTGGCTGACTGTTTGACAGACTGGCAGTTTGTTTGTCGAAAACATTTTGTAACGTATTTTTTGGCATTTGCACAGTTTTTTTTTCGTATTTTCGTTTGTTTTTATTGAGGAGTACGAAACTCTCACAGATACACATTTAGTATACGCATACACATACACACATCTTTCTATGTATATAAAAAACTTAAATATGCTTAAGTATGTTTCATTATTTTGTCGGCATATGACCATCACTAATGGCAAGATGTAGTGTAAATTGAGCACAACACTGCAGGAGGCCCTGCAACAACAAACAACGGGAGAAGAAGGAAGTGCCTCCTTATCCCCGATAATAAATTTCGATTCTTCGTTTCACACCCTCATGCCTGAAGACCCTTATCTTCGAACACAAAGTGATCGTATTCTCAATGATCGCCACTTGCTCGCTGGTGTTCCTTTGTGAAAATAGCATCCTTTGTCGGTCGGGCCATACTAACTGCTACCTCCTAGTCAAGCGGACAAACAAACATGTGTTTTTGGATTTGGATTGAAATTCATAAATCCAGCAGTCACATAGATTACTGAAAACAGATTGTTTCGTTTCACTTTGCAATGGTCTTCTTCGTTTTCCTCTTGTTGTTTTGAGGCATTTATGGTGCAGTGCCACAATAACTTGATCATTTTTGATCCCTACAAAATCAAAGAGTTGGTCACGAACACTTGAACCAAAAAATCCCCCAACAAAATTATTTATGTATGCATAGAGAAATTGGGTTACATACAGTGATCGTGAAAAGAAAGTTCGTTGTTTCTTTATTCCATGGGAATTGTCCTACACACCGGCAAACATGTTCTATTTATTTGTCATATAATCAATCAATGTTAATTAATTTTGGTTTTTCAGTTTGTAACTCATCGAAATAATCATTTCCGACCCTATAAAGGATATATATTCTTGATTAGCGTAAAATGCTATGACGACCCAAGCATGTCCATCTATTTGTCTGTTGTAGCCTCTAAATTTTGCATAGAGTCGCCTTTTGTCTGCAGGCGGGTCCAGTTCAAAGATGGGCTATATCGGTAGCCTCCAATTTTCAGTTTTTGGGTGCTTTGACTGTATTATTCGACCGAATTGGCTGTAATTTAGTACTTTGAGATCTTATTGGGTAGCTAATCTATCCTCTAAAAATTATAAATATAGGTAATTTTTTTTTTCTTGTAGCCCCCATATAACGGTACCACGAATTTTCGATATTTTGAGGTTCTTGAGCTCGTTTTTCAACTGAATTCGCTAAAATTTGGTATGTTTGATTCTTATTGTGTGCCAAATTTCTCCACTAAAAATTATAAATATAGGCCACTTTTTCTGGTAGCACCCCTAATTTTTGTATTTTGAGCGTATTTTCGACCGAATTGGCTGTAATTTAGTACTTTGAGTTCTTATTGGGTAGCTAATCTCTCCTCTAAAAATTATAAATATATGTACATTTTTTCGAGTAGCCCCCATATAAGGGTACCACAAATTTTCGCAATTTGGTATTTTGTAGTCGTATGTGGTAACAAATCTCCCTACAAACAATTATTAATATTCTCCCCTTTTAGGGGTTGTCCCCATATAACCCCCTTTTTTATATTAAAATATTTTTTTAATTTGTTCCACCTTTTAGGTTTGTCCCGAAAGCACGGAATTGTAGAATCTCTCTATCCATCTTTTTCATCTTTCATTCTACCTTCGGCCATCTTTGTAATCGGTCCGTATTTAGGTTATGGCTGGTTATACACCCATCCATCCAAGCAACCAACCAACCAGCCATTCAGACACAATGTTGTGTACAAATGTTTGTGAAACCAATACATAGATACAGCTGCCGCTATTTACCCTATAGGTAAGTATAGTATGTATTAGGGTATGTTTGTAGATTTGTCTGGCTGGCTGACTGTTTGACAGACTGGCAGTTTGTTTGTCGAAAACATTTTGTAACGTATTTTTTGGCATTTGCACAGTTTTTTTTTCGTATTTTCGTTTGTTTTTATTGAGGAGTACGAAACTCTCACAGATACACATTTAGTATACGCATACACATACACACATCTTTCTATGTATATAAAAAACTTAAATATGCTTAAGTATG